CTACTGTGACTAATTCTGCCATCTGTTAATACACATAAGCATCCTACCTTAGATAAATTAGTAGAAAGTCAATGGGTATTCAGATCAGGTAATGTACAGAGACACAAGAACTTAGTATCAGGGCTACTTGTAAAGGTGTAGCCTGTACAGGACCTCAATAGCATTGTGATTCATAAGACTAGAAGGGAAGGATGGGAGCCCTCATGTCTTAACAGCTGTGCCCTTAAGGATGGACATGCTACTGTCAGAGATGACCTGAGAGAACGAATGCCCCAACCTCAGACTCCTTCATGTCCTTGTCATGCTGTTTGTTGGCCAAACAGAACAGAGGACTAGACACCTATTGGAATGTCCAAAGAGGCTGGCCTTGCAGAGCACAAGCAGGCAAAGCAGCCTAGTGTCTATGGAGGGGGAAGTGAAGATGTATAGCTCAGCTTCACCAGCAATTAGTTGATACCTAGCTCTCAGCAACATACCTGACTCAGAATCATTGCAGGTGCCATCTGCCCAGTCATGCTTCATGATGCCAGGTGCAAAGTATGAGGTGGAACAAAGTGTTTAGCTGGAGCATGATAGTTCTGTGTTAGAAGTGTTTTTTCTGACCATGTGACCTAGCTACATGATTTCAGGAAGGAGAAATGAAATGCATGTCCATCTTTAGGCTTCCATTATTACTAAATTTAACTTCTAAAAGCATCGAAGTTCCTTTAATAAACCCTTGCCTTTCTTCATTTTTGTCTTTTATGTTATATTGAAAAGAAATGCATTATATTTAAAGGAGCTGGCCATCCAAGGTTCTTGAGATTCTTTGAACTCCTTATGGGATGTTTCATAGTTGATCTAACTCAGGAAGCGAGGAAGGTTTCATAAGATAGGGAATACATGTGTGTTCTCACTCCATCATCCTTTGTGAGACACATTAGGAACTGGGGAGATAGCTCAGATGAAATACTGGCAAGGAAATCAGTTTGGTCTCCAGAACTTTTATTTTAAAAAGAGCCATGTGTGGTGTTGTGAGCAATTGCAATCCTCGGGGTTGCAAGTAGAGACAGACAAATCGTTAGGGCTCACTAGTGAGCTAGCCTACCCTACTTGTCTAATAAGTTCTAGGTCAGTCACACACTCACACACACACACACACACACACACACACACACAAAGAGAGAGAGAGAGAGACAGAGAGACAGAGAGAGTTACAACATAGCTTTTGTTCTCAGCCACATCTTTCTTCTAAAAGTACTTTTGAATATCTCGAAAATGGACAGGCAATTGGCAATGCTTTGCAAGAAGTTAAGGAGAGATGAATGAAAGTAAACATGCAGCCCTCCCTTCTATCAATCTCAAATTAATATGTATATTGGTCAACAGTATCAAATACCAGGATTTGGCCTCTGAATGCTGAAATTATGTATTCTAAGCATTGTACAGCAGCAGAATGCCTTCTTTTGTTTATTTTCTCCATGCTGTGGAATATTCCTGAACTGGGAACCAAAAGTGTTCTGTGCTTTCCCATTGGCAGCCTGCAGCCTTCCTCAGTCCTGCCGCACCTTCATGCTGTAGTTGCCCCCAAGGATGAGACTTTCCTGCCAATGTCTCCCTGGTCCACAGCCCTTTTATACCCAGAGGGAGGAGTTTCCTTGAACCCTTCCTCCCTTTGCTCTGCCTCTTGAGGTGGCTGGACCACTATCAAAGCCCCAGTTGGATGGAAGTGTCTTTCTCCTAGGCCTGAGCTCTTGGATGCTAGTGAACTCATAAAATGCAGAACACTTAAGAACCACAGCACTTAATGGGACCAGGTGACATAGCAGCCTCCATTATTTTCACTATGGGCTCCTTCCATGTCTTGAGCCTATGTCTGTCTTTGCATTCATCACAGGTATTATAATTATTAAAACTATCTATCTTTGAAGGCCAGAATCCTGTCTTAGAAACATTTGAATCTCCTTTGCACTATACAGTGTCTGGCATGTGTCCAGTAAAGGCCAATGGGGTCTGTTGTTCTTTTGCTGCAGCTAATGCCTATAAAACACAAACACTAGACTCAGCACCCATGTGGAGTTTATTGAGAGAAGGGAGAGAAAGGGGGTAGCTGGTGGCCAACCAAAAGCAGGAGAGAAGCGAGAGAGAGAGAGAGAGAGAGAGAGAGAGAGAGAGAGAGAGAGAGAGAGAGAGAGAGAGCAAGAGAAAGTGAGAGGAAATCCAGAGAGAGCAAGAGAGCGACCAGAGAGAGAGGCTTGCTTGGCGGGCTTGCTTTAAAAGGGGGGCTTGTGCATGTGTAATGAGTCCTCTGGCAGCCAGGTAAAGCTGATGTAGGGATGACAGGGCCATGAACATCCCCCACATTGTTGGGGGTGGGGGGGTCAGCTGGCTGCTAGTTCCTAACAGGGTCCACAGACTCAAATGTGGGAGAATGTTACATCACTAGAATTCTTTAATAAAAAAAAATGCTCTGTTGTACTCAAACTACATGCTTTTAATATTTCCACAAAGAACTTTCCCTATCAGGATCTGGTAATGCAGGTATACAAAAATTCCATTTTTGTTGAATCAATGTATCTGCTAGTCATCTACAATTTAACTTGGTGCACATTAAGATTTCTTTGCAATACCTCTGTGAATAGAAAAGCCTATTTTCTGTGAAAATAGTGACTTTGTCAGTTCTGTACTTGCTATCAAAATCTGTTGGCCGTTCAGGTTATTATGTTTTTAACAATGACCCCACACAGCCGAGATTCTGCATAGCGACAGCACCTAGGGACATCTGCTGTATTCCTCTCAGTGGAAACTTGTCATGTGGGCTGGTACACAGGTCATTGCCCGTGTGCTGTGTTGGTGTCTATTATCTGTAAAGGAAATGGGTACCGTGACTTTGTAATGTATTGAGTATTTGTTTTGTGTTTTCCACAATCTACTGGAGGCCTCTTAACCAGTTAACCAGCTGTGCCTCAGAAGCAACACTTGCTTTTTCTTTCCCACTTAATTCACCTTAGTGAAAGTCTCGGTGATGACTATTCTTATTTTTAGGACATTTTCTTATATTCTGGCCAGTTACTGTTCTCTGGGGTTTAATGATAGGAATCCACTTTTTTTTTCTTTTTTTCCAGAAGAGCCTGACTCTGATCTGGAACTCTTTTCAATTAGGGGACAGTAGGTTTGGCCATCATTGTTTTCTATGGAGAATCAGTGAGGGGCGGATCCATCACAGTGGGGGCCAGGATATGATACTCTGCTTGAAGGTAGATATGGCAGCTCCAACACAGCCTCCCTTTCTGCTTCATCTGTTGGTACAGAACTGCTGTGGCTGTGGTGAGGAATTGAATGGACTATAATGAATGTTGATATTAAGAGGTGATTGGATGCCCCTATCTTCTTGGGGCTATCTGTTACATTTAGGAGTATTTATTGTACAATGAGAGAAATCCAAACATGCTATTAAACCCATGTCCTCATTTGCTTCTGTTGCTGCGATAAACGACTCTGACCAAAATCAATTTGAGAAGAAAAGGGTTTATTCCATCTTACAGCCTCCAGTCCATCACTGAGGGAAGTCAAGGCAGGAACACAAGCCAAGCAATGAAGCAGAAATCCCAGAGGAATGCTGTTTGCTGACTTGCTCAGCTACCTTTATTACACACCCCAGGGCCACCTGCTTAGGGATGGCACCCACAGTGGGATGGGCCCTCTGGCATCAATTAGCAATCAAGAAAAAGCCTCACCGGACATGGCATTGGACCAATCTGATCTAGCCTATTCCTTGATTGAGGTTCTATCTTCCCCGGTGACTGGATTGTGTGAGTTGACAGCTGGAGCTAACTATGACAGTTCCTTTACCATAGGGTTTCTGGAAACCCAAAGAATCCTGCTTGGTTTCATTGTTCATTATATTCTTTGGGTCTGTTTCTATATACACTGTGCATGTTATGCTTAAAAGCTAGTGTGTGTGTGTGTGTGTGTGTGTGTGTGTGTGTGTGTGTTGGGTATTTGAACTCAGGTCCTCTTGCTTTCACAGCAATTGCTATCACCCACTGGAGCCACCTCCCCATCCTTTAAAAACCTGCTTTTGTGATGAGAATTGATAAAAGCTGGAATCAATCTTTAACTGCAAGTTTCCTCACAAACCGGTAGAGACCTACTCTACCTACACTTTGAAAATTAGCCATGTACTCTAGTTTCAGGTATCATGGCATTCACAGAATTACAGAATTTTAAAGCACGTGGGGAAAGTTCTAGGAACTGCCTACTTGGTGTATTTGTCAGAACTCTGGTTTCTAGGGTTAAGTGTTTCTGAGTCGAATGAGTTAGAGAAACCCTGCGTTTTATAACTTCCTCCTCTTGGATCTTCACTGTAAAAAGTTACCTGTCAATCAGCTGGTCCCAAGGTTATTTAACCAGAGATTCCATTTTTTATTCCTATGTTCATTCTGCACCCAAGAAAAGAACCTTGTGTCTCTGTGGCGGTCTAGAAAGCTAATAAAAGAATTAGGGACCTATTGGTGATTACCAGCCTCCCTAGAAAGACTGCACCTTTACACTCATAGCAATGGCGTCAAAAAATTGCAAGATGATATTGGCCCCTCCCCCGAAATGTATTTAAAGAGTTGCTTCCAAAATATCCAGGATCCTAGTTTAAAGAGATTTATCCTTGAGCAGATGTGGAAATGTGCCAAGTGGCCCATCCAATTGAGTAATACTCTAACCATCGACCTCAGAAAACGCAAACTGAATAGCATGAGGAACAAAATGCTGGCGAAGCTCTCAGTCTGGGGGCTTGGGAGGGAGAACGCAATAGGCAATTCAACAAGCAAATATGTAATTACAAATTAGGATACGTGCATGAAGAAGAACGTACTGTCAGGTGAAGCTTATATTTGCAATCGTGTCTTAACTGACCCAGATTCAGAAGGAATCAATAGCGGGTGATTTTCATGTCCGCCCTGATGCTCAGAGCTCATAGTTACCATTTTTGAGCCACACAGCAGTCTCTCTCCTCGTTTCTTTCAGCCCCCGTGGAGCAAAATGAGAGCGCAGTGAGCCAGCTCAGCCTCTCCCCAGCCATCCCCCGACGCCCACCATGAACCACTTGGAGGGCTCCGCGGAGGTGGAGGTGCCGGACGAGGCGCCAGGAGGGGAGGTGAACGAGTCCGTGGAGGCCGACCTGGAGCACCCCGACGTGGAGGAGGAGCAGCAGGCGCCCCCGCAGGCCGCCGGCCGCCACGGTGCCCTCGATGACCCCCGAGCGCAGCTGGCTCGGCGGCAGCAGCAGGAGGAAGAGGAGCGCGGGGAGAGCCTGGCGCGCTCGGCCAGCACGGAGAGCGGCTTCCACAACCACACGGACACGGCCGAGGGCGACGTGCTCGCCGCGGCCCGCGACGGCGGCGCCGACGAGGCGGAGCGCGCGCACGACCCCGACGATGAGAGCGCCTACGCGGTGCAGTACCGGCCCGAGGCCGAGGAGTACACGGAGCAGGCGGAGGCCGAGCACGCCGAGGCGGCGCACCGGCGCGCGCTGCCCAACCACCTGCACTTCCACTCGCTGGAGCACGAGGAGGCCATGAACGCGGCCTACTCGGGCTACGTCTACACGCACCGGCTCTTCCACCGCGGCGAGGACGAGGCCTACGCCGAGCCCTACGCCGACTACGGCGGCCTCCAGGAGCACGTGTACGAGGAGATCGGGGACGCGCCCGAGCTGGAGGCGCGCGACGGCCTGCGGCTCTACGAGCAGGAGCGCGATGAGGCGGCCGCCTACCGCCAAGAGGCCCTGGGCGCGCGCCTGCACCACTACGACGAGCGCTCGGACGGCGAGTCCGACAGCCCCGAGAAAGAGGCCGAGTTCGCGCCCTACCCGCGCATGGACAGTTACGAGCAGGAAGAGGACATCGACCAGATCGTGGCCGAAGTCAAGCAGAGCATGAGTTCGCAGAGCCTCGACAAGGCGGCCGAAGACATGCCCGAGGCCGAGCAGGACCTGGAACGCGCCCCGACCCCAGGAGGAGGACACCCCGACAGCCCCGGGCTGCCAGTACCTGCCGGGCAGCAGCGGGTCATGGGACCTCCGGGTGGCGGTGAGGCTGGGCAGCGGTACAGTAAGGAAAAGCGAGATGCCATCTCGCTGGCCATCAAGGACATCAAGGAGGCCATCGAAGAAGTGAAAACCAGGACCATCCGTTCGCCTTACACCCCCGACGAACCCAAAGAGCCCATCTGGGTCATGCGCCAGGACATTAGCCCCACGAGGGATTGTGACGACCAGAGGCCCATGGACGGAGATGTAAGTATGTACAGCTCCAGGCTGGCTGGCTGGACCCCAGGCCCTGGGGAGGGGAGACTTTAAGTTCTGTGGCCTTGCGAGGCCCAGAAAGGATTTTGTGGGTAAATGGGCTATGGGGACACTGTGCACCTCCCCGTGGTAGTTGTACCCGTGTGGCACTAGCAGAAGGGTGTGACCTGGCTTATCAGACCCATAAAGGCATCCCAGTGCCTTCCAAATGATACCTGGGGGACTTGTTGAGAGTTACATTTTGAGTCAATGCCCACCCCCACACACCCCTCTTGGTGCTCACTGAGAAATTTTCTCAGTACAGTCCCAGAATCTGTATGTGTGTATTGAGTAAGAGGAGATTTGGTTGGAGAGGATGTTCGCAAAACCTTCCGTCCTGGAAGTACAAGATCTGCATGGGTTCCTGAGAGGAAGGAGTAACCCACGTGAAAAAGAACAAGGCCTGAGGAGATGGGATAGGACGGTGGCCTAACACAGGTGGGGTGGGGATACAGTTCTAACCAGAGTCAGGCCTGTTCTCCGGTGTGTGCCAGCACCTGGGGAAAGAGGAGTAACTCCGCTAAAGTCAAGTCTGTGGGCATTCCCCGCCCCCCAATCAATCAGCAGTTCAGCTAATCACACTTAAGAGGCAAAGGATGGGAATGCTTACACTCTGCACACACACACACACACACACACACACACACACACACGGGGACACACACACGCGGGGACACACACACACACACGGGGACACACACACACACACACGGACACACACACGGGGACACACACACGGGGACACACACACACACGGGGACAGACACACACACACACGGGGACACACACACACACGGGGACACACACACACACGGGGACACACACACACACACACACGGGGACACACACACACACGGGGACACACACACACACACGGGGACACACACACACACACACACACAGGGACTGCCCGTAGGTAGCATCTGCTAAGCTTTCGCCACTTCACAGAAGGTATGTTCTCTATTTAAAACCAGATGTGCTTCTCTGTATAGAGCTACAGGCAGAGCTGTTGCCACCTCTGTCAACAGCTTCTTTGCCATTTTTGAAATTGGAGACCGTGTCAAGCTCAGGTGTCACAGTCTGTTGAAAATAAATCAAGACGACTAACCTCTGCCCCTCTGCCTTGCTATAAAGATGCCTTTTGCTCTAACTCTCCTTTTTCTGGACTCTCTGGTAATTTCTACGCAATTTCATTTTAAAATGGAGCTTGAAGTCGGCTGAGGGTCAAGAGGTTAAATTCCGCTTCATTTCATCTGATCTGGGTGCTGGCCCCTCCATCACTATTCTTAGCTGTATCAGCCTCCTGAAATGACCTACTAACCACTTGACCATCCAAACGTCACTCTGAGCACCCTCCAGGACAGTGGTAGGGCCAGGACAGCTTTTGTTCATTTGAACTGGGAGGACACTTTAAACCTCTTGTGTAATGTTTTACTCAGGAAAAAAAAAAATGTAGTTTGTTACAAAATGTTGGATGATACTTAAGATCCTGAGCCATCAGAACTCATCTTGATGCTGAGGAATCGATGAGTAGGGCTTACCAGGGTATGAAGGGTTAACAGAAAGCAAAGCCAAAAAGCTATGCCGTAAAATATGCCCCATCTTCCCTAAGCTGTTTGGATCTGTGGGTCATGTTTCATGTGCTGTCCTATACTTGTAGGAAAGACCTTTATTTACTCCCCCTTTGATGGTATTATTCCACATCACCTCAGCTTCAAAAAAAGCATTTACTGAAATCTCATTCCACACATGCTGTCATAGAAAATGGAAAGACACCATTAAAAGTACTGCAGCCTGCAGTCTGCAAAGGTCTTGTTAAAAATGCAGATCATCCACCTTCTTCCCAAAGCCAAGGCGCGCAGGAGGCAGAGCCTGCTGATCTGGTGTTTTGGTTTTGTTTCTCAACTGTATAAAAGATTAAGATCCACTGACACAAAGAGGGGGACCCATTTAGGAGCTGTGGGCTTGAGGCTTTCTTCGACGAAAGGCTGTGCCACTGTGGTTAAGGTCTGCAGAAGCAGGGGGCCCTGAAATGAGAAGGCACCAAGGAACAGGTGAAGGGTGACAACAGCCATATTACCAGTTGGCAGAGGTAATTGCTAACAGTTAATTTTGCTTTTGACTGGCCTGCCCAGTCTTCTGTAACCCCAACATTGTATATGTACAGCAAGCAGGCATGTGTTTGCTGGTGCAGTAGACAGAATGAGAAGTTAGGATTATCCAGGAGAACCCATTCTCCTTACTGATAGATGCTCAGCACCAGATGAAAATAGTTATTTTCTGAAGACCTGAAAAAAAAAAAGACATGGACTCTAGGCCTAGTAAGGATTTTCTATCTTCTAGGTATGTTTGAGAACGTTCTTCCAACTCCCTCCTTGAAAAATACTGATAGTGAATTATGTGTTCTGAAAAGTTCCCTGTCATTCAGGGACAAGTGTCTTGCTATCAGCCAGCACAGTGCATGCTGGGAGATCTGAAGTAATTTGAGTGGCAGTGCAGACTGATAGCTGCTCATTTCCACTCTCTCCTATAACATCTTTAAAATGATAGTAAGGCCTTAAAAAAAAAAAACAGAAAATAAACAGCAGAAGATGAGGATAGTAAACTATTGTTGAATTCTTTGGTAATCCTGGACATTTTCAGGCTGGGCCATCTTTCCAGTTCCCTTTTAAGTAGAGAGGCTTGCACATCCTCACCCCTGGAAATCCTAGGAGGCAATGCCAGTGACATGTGCATTCGGAAGTGTATTTCTGCTGGGCAGGAACAGCAGAGGCCACTCTTCTTGCTTTAAGTGCAACAAACCAGAAGCCAGATGGTAAGAGTTGGTGTGACCCTGAGCACAGCAGGGATCTGCTTCCCCAGCGTGAGCAAGGTTCCCTGGTGACCCCAGTAAGGCAGGGAGGCAACCTCAGTTGAGGCCACAGCAACCAGGGGTGTGGGGGTGAGGGTGGGGGTTGGTTTGTTCCCGCTGCATGGCCCAATCAGTACTGAGTAATTCACAGGGAAGGTTTCTGCTTCTTCCTTTCTACCAAGATTTCTGAGGTTTTGAACATAGACACCTCAGAAAGGCTCAGGAACTTGAAACAGCCCATGCTGCAGATAACAGGGGTATGAAGACATGCTTGGGAAAGAACAGGAGACAGTGGACCTTTGGGTATCTCTAGTATGTGTAGCCAAGTGATTCTTTCCTGCAGATGTGTGGCCTCTATATTAAGGAGGCATGTCATTGTCACCCTAAACAAAAACCCAAATAAAAGAGGTGGGAGGGACTCCACCACAGGAAATATAGGGAGGGAACCGTTCAGGTGGGTGAAGGAGAGTTACTAAGATGGCTACTATGCAGAAAGCCAAGGCAGCAGGCAATCCAGAGCTTCTGGGACTCCAGTAGGAGGCACCCAGAAAGACAGCAGAGAGATCCTGATGGGCATGGAGAGAGAGGAGACAGCAGAGAGATCCTGATGAGCAGAGAGAGAGAGAGAGATCCTGATGGGCATGGAGAGAGAGAGAGAGAGAGAGAGACAGACAGACAAAGAGAGAGAGAGAAAGAGAGAGAGAGAGAAGACGGTGGAGCGATCCTGATGGGCAGAGAGGTCCTGATGACCCGGCTTGAGGGAGTAGAGGTGGTTTGGAGATGGTTTAGCATACACACATAGAACACTAATCAAAAAACAATTGTAACAATTCCCATTTCCTTTAGTTATTGTCCTTTCTGAAAACAGATACGGCAGCTAGAAATGCAGTACTGTATACATGCAGCTGAGCTGGGAAGACCATTGGCATAGTCTACAGAATGCAAACACTGAAAATCAATTAACCAGAAACTAGTAGAAAGGACACAGACTTCATCCCTTACAGTTGAAGCTAGGAAATAATGTCTAACCCTGAAAATGAAAGTGAGGCCATACAGGTACATTACTTCTGCCCAAGAAAGTAAACGTAGAAGAGAGTTGCAAAAGAATTGAAAATGGAACCATGAAGTGAGGAGCAGTGTAAAAGAATCTGAGTTTTGCCCTAAGCTATACAGTATGATTTGACTTTGAAAACTAAATTTGTGGATTTATAAAGCAACAGTTCACTGAACAAAGAAATTATCTCATTGCCCTGTTTTCCTGAACAAAAACAGAGGAGGGCAAATGCTTCTGTTGTGTTTTGTGTTCAATTTATAGGAAGGGAAGGACTACTTTTCTGACTGTTGACCTATGGTAAGATGGGTGCACTGCTGTATGCAGTGTTTGCATTGAGCATGCGCACCTCCATTTGGCTGGCATTACACACGTAACAATGAGGTCGATAGGAGGGATATACTTCCTGTAGACCACTGCTGGACAGTAAGGAATCTGGAGAGTTTAAAAGCCGTGGACTCACAGTGTGTTTAGAGTCTGGGAGCCTCAGAACACTGATGAGGAAGAACACATTAAGAACACTACCTGCAGTGGGAATGATTCAGGCTGGGGCCAAGTGCAGTGCATTGATTTCCACGGAGATGTGAATAATTATATAAGTTCAGAGCCTTCCTTCAAGGATGAAGTGTTTTTGAGAGCTGCCTTTTACCAGGGTGAAAGCACCACAGTTGCAGCATTTACAGCCCATGCTGCCCCTGCAGATGCACATTGAAGTGTCATATCCCAGCAGGGAGTGGTACTCTCTGTAGTAAGACTCAGTTGTCAATAGCAACCACAAAGAGGAGCCATTTTCCTGTGAATCATGAGGACCCAATGTGACCAGGGTAATTTTCTTTAAAGATGTAATAGTCTTAACTGTTACATCTTCAAAATGAAAAGGCTTGACCTTAAACTCCCATTTGGAGAGCAAATGATTCATTTCGGCTGTGAAGGGGATGCAGAATGTTTGCTTTGTTCCCTTCTCTTAGACTCAAAGTGCTACCTCCAATTATCTTTACCTCATCTCTAGAATTTCACCTGTCTGTTCAGTGCCCAGGCAAGCCCGGTTGC